GTCTGCTGTGCCGCTGTCGGCCGCTCGATGGAGCTGATCGACACCTTCACCGGCCGCAAGCTCGCGTCCATGGACGGCCACGCTGGACCGGTGCCCCCCCCCCGTCCGAGGGACTCGCTGGTGCATGGCCTTGGCTGTTCCTGCTGCTGCCCCTGCGCTCCACTCCTCCTCCCGTGGCCTGCACGCACGATGTCCTTCCGCGGCGTTGCATCGACAGCCAATCGGTCGTAAGTTTTGCACGTGCACGCGCGGGCCCACACGCACGCACGCACGCACGCATGCCCACTCGCACGCACGCACGCACACACACACACCAACACCAACACCACACACACACACACTTGTACACACTTACACTTACACTCACACTTACACTTACACTCACACTTACACTTACACTTACACTTACACTTACACTTCCGCTTTCACACTCGCACTTAGATTTACACTTACACATTCACTTACACTTACACTACACACACACGCACACACGCACACACACACACACGCGCACACAAACACACGCATATACGCACGCGCACACGCACACGCACGCGCACGCGCACGCACACACGCACACACACGCACACACGCACACACATGTTTACGTCGCATTTTTCGGGATTCGGCAGAGTCAGTCCGCACGCGCGTTCAGCAAGCCGGGCAACGGCATTACGAATTGCCCCGACTGCACGAGGGGAGGAGAAGAAGAGGGGCGGCCGCGGGAGAAGGAAAACAGGCAGGCGAGAGCACTCACGCGGCGAGGCCGCAGCGGGGCGCGGGGGGCGGCTGAGCTGGTGCAGCGGCCGGCACGCACGCACGCACTCACGCACGCACGCACGCACGCACGCACGCACACACACACACACACACACACACACACACACACACACACACGCACACGCACGCACGCACGCACGCTCGTACGCACACACACACACACACCAACACCGCACACACTTACACACGCACGCGCACACACACACACACACACTTACACTTACACTCACACACTTGCACTTGCACGAGAAGCGGCGGCCAGAGCGGCGAGAGCGGGAAAGGAAGCGGAAGAGAGGCGAGAAGAAAGGCAGGGGCGGGCAGGTACAGGGTAGAGGGGCACCACACGCACCCACACCTAAGCACGCGCACGCAAACACACACACACACATACAGAGAGAGAGAGAGAGAGAAAACAACAACAAACAAACAAACAAGCACACACACACACACACGCAGACACGAGCACCCATACACACCTACACTTCTTGCATAGAAGAGCGGGCAGTGTCCCAGCACGCAAGCAGTGGCGGGCGATAGACCCAGGCAAGCCGCGGGGAGCCCCAGCTGAGCCACTCCGAAAACTGACAGCCCTCGGGGGGCGTGTCTGACCACATCCCCGTTATTCCGCGCTCGTCGCCGCTCTGCTCCGCCCTGCTCCGCTCCACTCGCCTCCTGGGCCCCGGTGCAGCCGCCCCGCAGCGGTCGTCGGCGGAGCCCCAGAGGGCCGCAGCCCGCGTCAAGCCTCATGTGCCGCGTTCCAGACAGCGTCGCCGGCGCCAATTCGACAAAGGCGGGCTGCGCGCTTTGGGCTTGCTCTTCGGCCGTCACAGGTGGTCCGGTCTCTTCTATAATTATCCTGGCGGAAGGCCCAACCATATGCGGTTGTGAATGCCGCGTTGTGGGTGCCGCTTTCGGCGGAGCTCCCTACGGAGCCACGAAACGCGTGAGGGGTGTGGCCGTTTGGGTGGGGGGACGCGTGCGAACACCGCCACTGGGGTTTTCGGTGGAACTCCCCCTATGGGGCCACGAAGCGCTGTATTGAATGGGGGAGGCGCATGCCAACACCGCCACTGGTTCCTTCGGTGGAGCTACCCATGGGGCCACGAAACGCTGTACTGTGTGTGGGAGGCGCATGCGAACACCGCCACTGGGGCCTTCGGTGGAGCTCCCCAGGGGGCCACAAATCGCAGTACTGGGCGGGAGACACGTGCGATGATGATGACAATGTGGTCATGGGAGGAGGGGTGAGGAGGGGGCAGCGGGAGGAAGGAAGGAAGGAACCCAGACCCCCGAAATCGTGATTTTTTCATGACGTGACCCCCAGGAGCCTGGACCCCTTCCCAGGACCGGTTTTTCATCCTGAGTAGCGTTTTTTACAATCCGGAGGCTGGGCGAGGGCCCCTGGTGGCCGAAAATAGCGAAAAACCTCCCATCGTTTTTTTTCACAACGCGAGGAGGTCTGGGAACGCGGGGCGCTGCCTCTTCAAAACGAGGACCCAACAACACGACGGCTGGGAACAAAAATGGTGCCGCGCTCTTCGGGCGGGTGGTAACGGGGGGTGACTACATCGGGAGTGAAGAAGAGGGCCCAAAATGTTTACTTTTAGGCCCCTTTTGTGTCTCTGCTGGCTCCACAAGGGGCCCTGAAGTGCCTCTTTAGGGCCCTTCTTCCCCCCCCCCGCCTCCTCCTCCTCCTCCTCCTCCTCCTCCTCCTCCTCCTCCTCCTCCTCAACCTCCTCCTCCTCCTCCTCCTCCTCCTCCTCCCCCTCCTCCTCCTCCTCCTCCCATGGCCACATTGTCAGGAGGAGGCGGAGGAGGAGGAGGAGGAGGAGGAGGAGGAGGAGGAGGAGGGGGAGCGTAGGCGCCTCAGACGAGGAGCAACAAGTTATGCTCCTCCGCGGAGGCGGGCGAGGGGTGCGTTCGTCCACTACGGGGGGGCACGGTCTTCCGGAGGCGATCCCTGCAATGGGGGGGCGCTCCTCCGTGGAGGCCGACAAAGGATCGTCCCGCGGCACTGGCTGGATTTGCAGGACGGTCCGTGAAGCGTGGTAGAGGCGACCGTGCGCCAATGCGCGCGATGGGCAGTGGGGAGGTTACGTTGCATCTTCGGGGACCTCGCCTGTCCCCCAAACTGGTGCCTGTTCTTTGGCCCGCCGCGAGCTCGATGCCGACTCGACGCGGATTTGGCGTGGATTCGACGCGGACTCGACACGGATTCGACACGGACCCGACGAGTCCGACATGGATTAAACACCGATTCGACGCGGATAGGGCCGCGACAGGACAGACAAGATCCCCCGAGGATACAACATAAGGGAGGGAGAGGGCGTCGGATGTGTGGAGGGAGAGCTGCGTCAGCTTTCCGTGACAGTTCGCGCTCTTGCCCGGGCGCATTACGGCCAGACCTCGAACGGTTCGTTGCGAGATGGGATGGCGGCATATAACGAATTCACTAGCGACGTCTGCGTCGGTCGTACTGGACCTCCGCAGGAGGGTGAGCACCACTGCACCGCTTGTCTGAACCCGTCAGGCATGCGCTGCCTACTGCAGGCCATTGTGTGGCCAACGGCGGACTCTGTGCGGCGTTGCGCACCCATATGGCCTCGCATGCTGTGATGGTCAGTCTTGTGGAGGACGATCAATGGAGAGGAAGCGGGTTGCCAAACAATTTCCAGATGTCTGAACAACGGTTTAAACATGGCTGACACATGTAAACACAGGGCTGAAACATGTTGAGACTATGTTCCAAACATGTTAAACACTTGTTAATTGAATTGAATGATAACATTGTTAGGGTGTCCATTGTCATGGCATCCGCAAGGTTGGTCACCATCCTGTACTATACATGACAGCAGTCTCTGATCGAGACCCTTCTCAAACACCTGCTTATCCAGCTGCCTGCGGCAAACCCCGCAACCGGGCCTGTGCAACAGCGCCGCGGGAAGGAGGCTGAGTTTTGGAACAGCGCAATTCCGGCGATTGGTTTGCATTGGCGCGGGTCACCGCAATCCCGACCTTGTCTTCGCCCGTGCGGTAGGGAGGAGGAGGAGGAGGAGGAGGAGGAGGAGGAGGAGGAGGAGGAGGAGGGAGAAGTGAGGAGGGAGAAGTGAGGAGGAGAAGCATAAGGCTTCTGGGGGGCCCCCAGGAGGCCCCCTGGGAGCTTCCTCGAAGCTTCTTGGGGCCGTTGGGGGGCCTCGTGGGGCCCTCTTGGGGCCCTCTTGGGGCTTCGTGGGCTGTCTTGAGGGATTATGGGCCTGTCTGACGCCTATGGAGGCCGCCTTGGGGGCCTCTCTAGGCCGTGTCGGTGCCCTCTTGGAGCGGTTCACGGTTGTCTCGGGGCCCACTTGGAGGCTTCTTGGGCAATGTTTGGGTCTTCTGCCCGATGTGGGGCTTTCTTGGGGGCCGTTTGGGCCGTCTTGGAGCTATCTTGGAGGCTTCTTGGGTCGTCTTTGGGCGGTCGCCCGAAAAGGTGAGAGCTTCAAAATCTTCCAGGGATCTGAGGACAATTAGTGGTTTGGGCTTCCTTGGCCTCTCCAGGAGGGTCTCTTGGAGCCCTCTTTAGCCGTCTTGGGGGCTTCTTGTGCCGTTTTGAGGCCTTCTTGGAGGCTTCTTGGGCCGTCGTGAGGCTGTCTTGAACGGCGATTGAGCCGTTCTGGGGCATTTTGAGCAGTTTGGGTGTCGTCATGGTTGTCTTGGAAGCCATCTTGGAGGCCATCTGTGCCGTCTGGAGGGCGAAAAGAGTGCGGGGGAGCAACATCGGGGGGCGGACGTTGCTCCCCGCCCACGATGCAGGGGGGGGCGGATGTTGCCCCCGCCCGCCTGAGAGAACATTGAAAAAACACTCCCACAGGAACCGCAGGAACATTCTAACACGCCCACTCCACGCAGGCGCGGGGGCGGATCCAGTACGTGGAAGCAGCGCGGGAAGCGCCAATACCGGAAGGTGTTAATTTCTTATTGCCTCACGCACGGCAGTGGATGAAACAAGAGGACGACAGTAACCCCGGGATGCATCAACGATGTTGCAATACACCCTCCGGCCCCAATGCCCCTCACGAGTCTCTGCAAGTATCCCTTCCCATGTTTCGGAAGAGCCCCCTTGAATGACGAGCGCCCAGTGAGGCTGGCACTCGGGCGGTACCCCCTCGTGTCAAGGATCCACTCCCCATCCTTCGAGATAAGGGGAACGCGACGGGGTGGGATGATAAATTTCCAGGAAGTGTCCAGGGATGGCGTTGTTTTCGAAACAGGACCTGTAAATGAGCGAGGGTTTCGAAGCGAGAGCCCATTTGAACAGGAGCCGCCCTCAACCCGTGTAACGATTGCACAATTAGGAGATTCGTGGAGAGTTTGGGAATGTCTCAAGCGAGAGCCTTAGCTTGAAAGCGAAACGACCTCCATCACTGGAGTTGCTGAACTGTTTGTAAGTTCGATCCACAGGGTTTCAAAACGTTCCAAGCGAGAAACACAGTTTGAAAGCGAAGCGGAACGCATGTACTCGACGATGCGGCGAGAGCCGCATTCTGAAATCCATGGGCCCTTCATCCGGATAAGTGTTGACACATCCCAAACCAATTCGCGCGGCGCTCAGGCGAGAGCCCCATGTCGACAACGATCATCTCTCCATGTGTTCATCTGCTGGAATGAGCTTCGCTCCAGGGCGATGAAGAGCGAGGAGGTCTCCATCGACACAGCCAGCCCAGCCTACTAACGGGTCTGCCGACGCGACAAGGGGGGGGGGGGACTGTGTGTGCGGGGGATAGCGGAAGAGCAAAGAGGCAGAAGAGGAGCAGGAGGAGGAAGAGGGGAACGAGGGAAAGGGGAGGGGGAGGAGGAGAGGCAGGAGGAGGATGACACTGAGCAGCGAGGACAGCGAGCCAGGACGAGAGGCCGCACGCGCGCAGGTCATGTGCGTCGCCGAGCTGGACGGCGACATCGTCAGCGGCTCGATCGACAAAACCATCAGGCCGACCCCCGCTCCTTCCTCTCCTCTGGCTGCTCCTCCTGTGCCTCCTCCTCCTCCTCCGTCCCCTCCCCACCTGTCCGCCTCTCTCCCTCCTTTTCTCAGGTTCGGTGTTGTGCCTGCGACGCTCTTTGGACTGAAGAGCGAGCTCGACTCTCGGGGTACACAACCTCGGGTAAATGCAGGTGCGGCAGAGTAGATACGCTGCACCATAGGTTATACACTTGTGATCTGCCAGAGGTCAGAGAGGCCAGAGAAGCAGCTGAGATTCCAGAGTCGTTTCTTTCGGCAGGATGCGAGAGCACTGATCCGATTTATACCAGAGGGCTCTTCGTCTTTGATCCCAGTGAGGTTCCCCCCCCGTGTGCGTCGAGTGATTGTTGCGTTGTGGGGGGTGATGGCGAAGAGATCCCTCAGACTCCCGAGCAGGTGGGACAGCTTCTGGGGGAGCATCAATTGATGGAGTTAGCCGCAGATGGGTCATGTACGAAACAAGCGTTGAGATGTCTTCGGAGGGCGGCTTGGGCCATTGCCCTGTTGCGGCCCGAGAGCGAAGATGTCCTGGCTGTCCTTCGAGGCCCCGTGGCTGGCTCCCTCCCCCAGACCCCTGCTTTTGCGGAGCACCTAGCCTATGCCTTAGCAGGGCAAGTTTCAGATCGCGAGACCCATGTCGGTTTAGATTGCCTCGCTGTTGTAACCACGGCTCAGAAGACTCTTGAGGCACAGACACGGTCCTCAAATAAGTATGCTGCTGTTCGCCTGTTTGCTCAGTCACTCCCAGGCACGTCGAATATAAGCCTCACGCGGCATGTGAAAGCTCACAGGTCGGATGAGGCCATCGCTGTGTTGCAGGGTGACGAGTTGAGGTATGCTCAGGCGAATAAAGCCGCAGATGCTCACGCCAAAATCGCCTTGACTATGCATGCTCGCCCAGACCCCAGTTTCTTGGAGAAGGTCGAAGAGGCAGAGGTCAAGGCCACCAGGTTTATAAAACTGGCTGCAGCAGTGCTTCCGTGTTTTCAGAATGACAAGAGGTGGTCCAGGCCTCCCCGTAGCAGGCGGCCCCAGGATAAGCGGTGCAGTAGTTTTCATGAATGGGCCTCCACGTCGGTGGGCCTCCAGTGCAAGCAGTGTTTGATTGTTGCGCCTCCTGGGGACTCGCCGCCGATGGACGGCTGCAAGGGCACCCCTGCATTCTTGCGCAAGCTTCTCGGGGATGCCAAGGGTCACCAGGTTGTTGCGGTCCAGGGCTCGGTTGCTGGAGATGGCTCTCAGATCCCTGGGATCCCCACGAGGCGAGCGGTCCAGCAGTTCCTCTGTGTTCAATGTGGGGGGTGGTCTCAGGGCCGCGGGGCCAAGTTGGGCAAAGTATGCCTCCCCCCCCACAAAGAAGGGGATTGAAATTCTCCAGGCTTTCAGGAAAGGGCTTGGTCCCAATCCACGGCTTCGATCGGCCATCGATCGAGTGGTTCCGTTCAGCCAGGTGGAGATCCAGGCAACCACTCGGGCAGAGGCTCGGGTGGTCACTAGGGCGCGGATGACGGCGGCGGCGGCGGCGGCGACCACGACGACGACGAGCACGTCCGCGCCGCAGGAAGGTTCCTCGGCGCCTCAGGAGCGCCCCGCTCAGGAGCCGCCGTCCTACGAGCGCCGCCTGTCGGCGCTGTTCGACAGGATCAGGGCTAAGGAGGAGGCCAGGCGAGGAACGCCCACGCCTCCCGCCTTGCCCTAACCGTTTGTCTTTTCCTATTGTGTAGTCATGTGACTTGACCTTATGGCTGTTCTTCTTCTTCCCTCCTTTTCTCCTGCTGGGGAGGGGAGGGGGGGGTGACGGGGAGGGGGGGGGAGGGGGAGGAGCAGGAGGACAAAAAAGGCAAGAACGCATCAATTCCCTCCTTCTGCTTCTCCTCCTCCTCCTCCCCATGAAGAGAAGGCGGGGGGGGGTAGAGGGCGGATATCGAAGACGTCCTCTTCCCCATCCTCCCACCACCCCCGAGGGCTGGAAAGGGCCTCCAGTTTCGGTGCCCTGCGGGGCCATCGCCGCGGGCGGGCCGCCCTGCGCGCGACGGCGAGGAGGGCGCGAGCGACGCCGCGCCCTCGCCCGCGCCCCGCCCGCGGCGCGCTGCGGGCCCGCCGCCGCCGTGGTTACGACCGGCCGGACCTCTGGGCGGTCTTCGGCATCGTCCGCTCGCGGATGTCGCCGCGGCCTGCCGTCGAGGCTGCGCCACGACCCTCCTCTTCGGATGCAGCTCCTGGGAGGTCAGACTCTGACTCTGCCCTGGTCCGGAATCCGGCTCACACCGGCATGATCCCGCTCACTCTGGCAGGCACGGCTGAATCCCCTGTATCGTCCGCGGCCCACTCCGGCGCAGCAGCACCCCAATGAGGCTCAATCCTCAGTCCTTCCGACGAAGTCTCAGGAGGGGAAAAATACACAGACACCATGAATCGTCGGTTCTCAGGAGCATGTGGGAGAAGATGGACAGTAGGGGGGGGAGACGAAAACCCAGAACATATGGAAACATATAGGGAACCCTTGGATCTGCGTGTATTTGTTTATGTGTTGTGGGCCCCTTCAAAGTCTTCCCAGCAGTTGCCTCCCAACTCCTCGCCCTCTACCTCGCCGCAGCTCGGGGGGCTGCCCCCGAGCGCACGGGAAGCGCACGGCAGCACGGAGGCTGGCAGGGGAGCCCGCCGTCGCGATGCCGGCGCGGCCTCCGCGATGCCTGCTCCTGCGGGCGGGGGGTGGGCGGGGGCTGATCAAAACTCGCCACCTCCTCCTCCTCCTCCTCCTCCTCCTCCTCCTCCTCCTCCTCCTCCTCCTCCTCCTCCTCCTCCTCCTCCTCCTCCTCCTCCTCCTCTTCCTCCTCCCCCTGCCCCTCCCTTATGGAGGACGCGGGCCCTGAGGGAAACGGGTCTTGAGGTCTTTCGTTGCGTTCGGCCTCCCGGGGCTCTCCTCGGGCCCCCAGGCCTGCAAGAAAACGGGTCAGGACGAAGACCTGGTTCTGGTGGGCTGCCCCAGGGTCCAGGACCTGTCCCTTGGGGCCCGCATGGGTGCCACTGGCCGTTCCCGCGAGGCTCGCGCTGAGCCATCCTGCCTCCTCGGGTGCGAGTCTGGGGCGACGCGTTTCAGCGGGTCTTGTCCTCACGTGGTCATGCATGGTCGGTTGTTCGTCTCCCTCGGTCTTTCGCCCCGTTCTCTCCTCCCCTGCGCCTTTGTCTCGGCCCTCCCCAGGCCCACTCATCGAATCCCGATGACGACCTTGAGCACTTAATCTCGAGGTTGGCTCTATTGCACGACATGCGTGGTATAGCCCAATCTCAAAAATAGGTCAAGCCCTCAGCATTTCCTGCACTGCCTCTCGTCGGCTCGCGCTCGAGGGTCAGGTGATTGGCACGCAAACGTCATGAGATACGGTCGCTCCTGCTTCTGCTCCTCCTTCTGCTTCCTCTGTTCCTCATGCCCCCTTTGCTCCTCCTTCTGCTCCTCCTCGTTGTCCCCCGGCTCCTCCTCCTACTTCTCCTCCTGCTCCTCCTCCTCATCCTTTTTTTCTCCTCGTGCGAGGATGAAGAGGGAGGATTTCGTCCTCCTGCCCGCCCCCCACCTCCTCCTCCTCCTGCCAGTGTTTTTTTTTTGGTTTTCCGACGGCTACGGCTCTTCTCGTCCCGCCCAGACGGGCGTGGCTCTACTCTTAGTAGATCTGGACGGACGCTCGCTCGCTCGCTCGCTCCTGCTTCTTTTCCTTCTCCTCCTTCTCCTCTTCATCCTCCTCCTCCTCCTCCTGCTCCTCCTCCTCCTCCTCCTCCTCCTCCTCCTCCTCCTCCTCCTCCTCCTCTTCCTCTTCCTCGTCCTCCTCCGTTTCCTCCTCCCCCTCCTCACCCCAATCTTCCACTCTCTCTGGGTGTTGTTCGTTTCGTCGTGGCGTTCTCCCTCGTTCCCGCCCTCTTATTTCTGCTTCGGTCTCTCTCCTCCTGGCACTGTGGGTTCAGGTCTCTGGAGGCAGCGTCGGAGCCTGAAATAAGAGTCGGCGCGGCGGTCGGCTGAAGACTGTGTTCCCCCAGGGGTGCCACGCTTCCCCCCTTCCTCCTCCTCCGCCTCCTCCTCCCTCCCCCTCCCTCTCCCAGCCAAACCCTTCGGGGGGACCTCGGGAGACGGGTGGGCCAGCACCGGCCGGGCGGTCGCTCGAGCGATGCCAGCACATACCAGGCCGCACTAGCACGAGAAGCACGCATCTTTCGGCAATGGGGGTGAGGAGGACGCGAGATTCGAATAACGAAACACAACATAAACATAAACTTTTGGCGGTACGCGCGGATTTCTTGGATCTTCGCTGGGCCCCCTGGTTGCGCCTCCGGAGCCGCCCCTGGCTCGCTCCGCGCGCCAGGCAGAGGAGCCCAGCGCAGATCCAAGAAATCCGCGCGGACCGTGAAACGTTTATATTAATGACGCTTGCTTTTTCCTTCCAAAGATGGAGGGAGAGGAGCTATGGAGGGGGAGACTGGCGAGAGGACACGCGGAGGCCGACGGCGGCGGCAGGGGGGAGATGGAGAGAGAGGACGAGGAGGCCGACGGCGGCGCTGGGGACGGGGAGGAGGTGGAGGAGAAGATGCGGAGGAGGAGGAGGAGGAGGAGGAGGAGGACTGGGGAAGAGAAGATTGGAGAAAGCTGAGGACGAGCAGAACGAAGAGGTCGAGGAGGGAGGAGGAGTCGACGTCGACGAGGAGGAGGAGGAGGAGGCGGAGGCGGAGGAAGAAGAGGAGGAACATCAGGAGGAGAAGAATGAGGGTGGCATGGCTAGCGTCGAACCCGTACCCTCTCAAATGTCTCAGTTCAATCATTTCTGTTGGGTTTGTTGGACAACCTGTCGGGCTGCACAATTCTGTTTAGCTCGAGTTTGGCAGGTGGTTCCGGTCATGGGCAGGGCGGGGCATCAGGATGCTTCCGATGCCCCGGCTTGCCGCGCAGCGTCGGGCCTTGGCTTCGTTATCGGGCTCCTCCTCGC